TAGTAGTAGTAGTAGTAGTAGTAGTAGTAGTAGTAGTAGTAGTAGTAGTAGTAGTAGTAGTAGTCGTAGTAGTAGTAGTAGTAGTAGTAGTAGTAGTGGTAGTATTTGTAGTCGTAGTAGTAGTCGTTAGTAGTAGTAGAAGTAGTAGTAGTAGTAGTAGTAGTAGTAGTAGTAATAGTAGTAGTAGTAGTAGTAGTAGTAGTAGTAGTAGTAGTAGTAGTAGTAGTAGTAGTAGTAGTCGTAGTAGTCGTAGTGTGTGTGTGTGTGTAGTAGTTAGTATTAGTAGTAGTAGTTAGTAATAGTAGTAGTAGTAGTAGTAGTAGTAGTAGTAGTAGTAGTAGTAGTAGTAGTAGTAGTAGTAGTAGTAGTAGTAGTAGTGTAGTAGTAGTAGTAGTAGTAGTAGTAGTAGTAGTAGTAGTAGTAGTAGTAGTAGTAGTAGTAGTTGTAGTAGTAGTAGTAGTAGTAGTAGTAGTAGTAGTAGTAGTAGTAGTAGTAGTAGTAGTAGTAGTAGTAGTAGTAGTGAGTAGTAGTAGTAGTAGTAGTAGTAGTAGTAGTAGTAGTAGTAGTAGTAGTAGTAGTAGTAGTAGTAGCAGTAGCAGTAGCAGCAGCAGCAGCAGCAGCAGCAGCAGCAGCAGCAGCAGCAGTAGTAGTAGTAGTAGTAGTAGTAGTAGTAGTAGGAGGAGGAGGAGGAGGATGAGGCGGAGGAGGAGGAGGAGGAGGAGAAAATGAAGGAGGTGTTCGTACATGTTTCTGCGACTGGTTGAGGAGCGTAGCAGCATCAGTCAGCCCAGCAGTTGCAGGCCGGCGGTACTGTTTGGCCCCAGACATTAGTGGAGCTCACGCCTCGCCTGAGCACAAAAGCATCATTATTACCTTTCGGTCGTTTGCGTGCAATTCCTCCTCAGGAGTGTGCATGGTGGCGGAGCGAGGGTGATGGCGGCTGGAGCCGCAGCAGCAGCAGCAGCGCCTGCTTATCCTGGAGACCCGCTCCCGGAGTCAAACGCACCTCACGCTCGAGATCAATGTTTCAACCTCAACCGAGGTTCAGCGAGCTATGCGAAGCGGCCTGTTATGGTGGAGATTACAGTTTCGTTCAAATGGCGCTGAGGGCTACCCGCGAGGGAATACAGGAGTCCATCGACAAGCGAACGCCGCGGGAATCAGGGTTCTCACCAACGAGGATACGTGAAAGATGAACTCTCTGCTCCTCAGCATCGTGAATCGCAACAGGTACACGGAATAATCAAACGGACGTTCAGCAGAAACACAATGGAGCAGGTGACAAAATTGTCCAGACCGAATCCATCGTTGAAAGCAAAGGCAAATCAGGGGGGCGACAGAGACTAGTTAGTGAGTGCAAAGCCACGCAGAAACACTTATGCAGGTGGCCGAGCCACATTTGGATAATGGAACGAGAAACTGCTAAACGCACTCGCTCAAGTTAACCCACACTACCGAAAAGGCTTCAAACAACTTGGGTGACAAACTGAAGATCATGGACGGGACACTGCAGGATGACCGCGACGACGACGACATGCTCAGGATCCCGACTGTCTGGTTAACTGTGTCTCAATACGCCAAGACTCACCTGATGAAGCAGCAGAGTGATGATGACAACGGGGAGTTTGACATAACGGAGGGAAGCGTTCGCATACTGGATGAGGACATGTGGTGCGTATTGAATGACACACCAGATGGAGTGGAGCCTAGGGGAAAGCTCAAAGGACTCAGAGAAGGAGATGGAATACTGGCGTACCAGAAGAGCTACAAAGGGTACTCTCGTGTTATCGGTTTGGCCATGCCGGCTAAAATGAGCCTGATCACGAAACGGGACAAGCCCAGGAATATCGGATATGTGTCCAGCCAGTTAGAGCAGTGGACCGCACTAGTAGGACGCTGGAAACGATAGGCCAGCATGCTCGTTCAATTTCCCGTTCCGCTTCAGTGATTTGAGGACCATTGCGACCCACGCGGGAGACTGGTTCGAGGGATTGCACCAGGAGTGTTTCAAGATGCCAGGTTCGCTGCTACCGAGAAGTACCGAAACTCCATACGTAAAATGCGAAAGCCGGACACGAAAGAAACGATTAGACGCAGACGCAAGAAAGCGCGATGCCATGGACATCGGAGGAGTCAGCGGCAGCAGCGAAGATCCAGGAATCCCTTGGAATTTACTCGAAGGTTAGAACGCAGACGGTTACGTGGATGATGGCGGTTACTGGTGGTCCAACGACGCGGCATGGAGTTATGATGATGAGCGCGATGGAGGAGAAGGAGTACATGCACTTAGCCAGAATACGTGTAAAAAAGGGGAAATGGTCCCACATGTAACAAGCGTGGCTATTTCGGACACGTCGCTATGAACTGCAGCACAGGAGGAGGCAAGGGCAGCAAAGGGAAAAAGGGAAGCAGGGAAGGACATATGACATATGGCCAGCGTTAAGGGCGAAGCCTGGGTCAAAGGGAAAGTTGCAAAGGACAAGGTCGTGAAGGACTTGGTAACTGCGCAACAGGAGGATTTGTCCTCATGAGTGAACGAGAGTGTTCCGAGTGTGGAAGGAAGGGACACGTAGCAGCGCAATGTAAAGAGCATGGGCCAACGAGGTGGAACCAAACCAAGAGGCAATTTCCGCGTTAGAGCAACCTGGGAGCTCGGGCGGAAGCCGCGGTATCTTCGTCGGTAAGCCCATGTCGGGTGTTCTGGTGTGGATCCCCCCCTGATCCACCTGGTCTAGGAGTGGGCGCTGCCGTGCCAGGAGAGAAACAAACGTCGAATGAAAAGGATGGGCGAAGTTGCGTGCACGAGTCAAGAAGGTTGCTGCCCTAGCCGCGGGGCGCAACCCGTGCGAGATGGCGGTGCAGGCGCGCCCGACCTGGACTGGCCCGAGCGAGCCGCCCGACCTCGTGAAGAAGGACAGTCAGAGGAGCCCCCGAAGGTGCCCGCGTGCGCGAGATGCGGCAGGGCTCCGCGCGACCTTTCGGGACGGGAGCCCCGCCCTCGCGCTGGTGTTTCGCCCCCCTGGCGGCGTGGGTCGACCAGGTGTCGGCCAACTGGGCCGTCCCAGAAGCGGCCGAGTACAGCGGCGTGGAGGACCGCGGCGACTGGCTCCGAGAACACATCGCGGGCGAGGTGAAGTCGTCCAGGATTGCCGAGGTGTTCAGGGGGCAGTTGTGCTGCCGCTTCCACGGCAACTATCTCATCGCAGTGGAGGCTGCGAGCGGCAACTCGTGCATGTCGGCGCGCCTGAGGTCGCCGTGAAAAATCGGATCTGGCGCAGAGCCGCGGGGGGGGCGCCGGGGCCCGCGGGGCAAACTACATCCTGAGCAACAGTTGGGACCGGCGCGAAGTCCATTTCGCGCTCGTTGCCGGCGCCAAGGGCGCGCGTCGGCTCGTCGCGATTCGCGAGGGCGAGTGGGGCGCGATGGCCGGCGAGTTCGAGGGCGAGATCTACGGCGACACCGTCGGCGCCGTTGGCATTTCCAGCGCCTCGGGGTCGTGGGCCACGTGGATAGGCGTGCTGCCGCGACGATCCTCCGCTCGCCGGACAGCGTCCAGCCCGTGGGGCAGGTCGCCCGCGCCGACGACCTAGATGCGATCGGCTTGGGGTGACGCGGGGGGCTGGCTTCCCTCCTAAGGGTCATCCTCATCTGCGGCTTCGTCTTGCTGGGCAGAGGGTCAAGGCGCGGGGCGGCGTCGAGTTTGTCGGGGTCGACTTCTACTGCGATTGCGCCGCCTGCGCCATGTGCCCGTCGGGAGTGAGAGCGGCCGCTGGCTGACATGTATTTGGAGATGGTCGAGCACGGCGCCGAACGCTTGGGTCCCTTGGGCGTCGTGGCGACGGCGCTCGCCTGGGAAGGACCTTGGGGGCCGCGTGCGCCTGGGCTTCCGGCGCCGACAGGTCTGGCGGGCAGAGGGCCGCTTGGCAGATGACAGAAGCTCGAGGCGCCCGTCGAGTTCGAAGGCGCTGGTAATTTTCGCTCGGGCGCGAAGGCCGCGGTGGGGCGCTGCTGGATAGGCAGCTGGGGGGCCCCCCTCGAGCGTCGACGCCTGGGGGGCCCGTTGGCGCGCGATGGAGGTGGAGAAGTGCTGGTTCCCATGGGCGCGGGCTACGGCCGACGGTCCGAACGGGGTTATCGCTGCGCGGGAGCTCCTCGGCACGGTGCCGTCGCGCGAAGCTGTTCGAGAGGCTGAGGGGGGGTGCTCCGCCATCGGGCTGGCGTCGAGACGACGGGGTGTACCGACGAATCGGGGAGCGCCTGTGCAGTGTCGCGGGCCGTGCCAGACAGGTGATCTCGGGCGGTCCTCCTCCTCGAGCTGACGGAGGAGCTGAGGTCTGATTTGCCCCCCCCTGCGACGAGGATCAGGAGGCCGTCGACCTCGGCGACGTGGGGGGTCCACGTGGCGCCCGAGGATCCGGGGCGGCACGTGATGATTGACGCGACGAAGGCCTCGCTGGAGCTCTACGAAGCCGTCTTCGAGGAATGGGGCGCGGGCAGGCGGGGCGGCCGCCCCGGCGGGCGTCCCGGGTGGCCGCGCTCGCCGCGTCGTGCGTCTCGAGCCGTGGTAGCGTCTGCGTTCGACGTCCGTTCGGAATGCCCCCTCGCTCGGAGGCCGTCGGCCGTTCGCCTCGGGGCGTGTCTCGGGCGGGGCTCGGCGGCGGCCCCCCGAACGGGGAGGGGCTCCGAGCGGCTGCCTGGGCTCGGGGTCGTCTTGAACCCCGCCCTCCGGCGGCCTCCTCCACGGCGGGGGTGCTCCTTCTGCGCGCGGAGGCCCGTCCGTCCGCCGCGGGCGGGGGCGGGGGTCCAGGGCGGGAGGCGCGGCCGTGGCCGCGGAGGACCCGATGGGGGATGGGTTGGGCTTCGCGACCGCGCGTCTCGGCCCCTGCGCGCGTGCGAGCGGCCGGAGGTGGTGGGGTATTGTGGAGAGGGGGAGAAGGAGAGGGGTGGGGGGCGGCCCCCTATTCGGGTCCGTCGAGGACGAGCCTCCGTGTGCAGTGTATCTTCCTTAACCTCCCGCCGTCTGTTGCCGTGTGGGCTCAGTCGCTCGGCCGTTGAAGAATGACCCGCCCACCGCTCCAGGGCATCGCGTTCCTGGGAGTGGCAGGGGCCCTGCGCCTGAAAAGGTGGCATCACTGTCAGTTCGTCTCTCCCCCTGTTTCGTCATCGCATCGCTATTGAGGTCCTTCGAGGGTACGCGTAAGTGCGCAGGTGGCAGTGCCCAGGGGGGGCGTGGGTCCGCTTGGAACGTTGTCCCGTTGGGCCTTCGAGGAGCTCACGGAAGTGGCGACGCTTTGCGTAGTTGGCAATTCCCAAGGAGGGCGAGGTTACGTATGAGTCCCGAGCGACGTCGCGCTGCTGGATTTTTCAAAAGTTCGCGAACGTGGCGACACGTGCGTAGCCGGCAGCGCCCAGGGAGAGCCAGGTCTCGCTTCGGTCCCTGCGAACCGTCGCCACGCTGGACTTCCAAGAAGTCACGAACGTGGTGAATATTCTCGCTGACAGCAATGCCGAGGGAGGGCGAGGTCTCGTTCATGTTCCCGTGAAAATCAGTCCGCTGGGCCGGACCCAGCCCCGAGGGAGCAAAATGCAGGGGAAGCGAACAACAAACGAGTAATAATGAACGGGGAGACACTTGGGAGGAAACGGGGAGGAGGGGAGGACGGGGAGGAAGAGAAGCAATGGACGGGAACAGCAGTGCCTGGCTGTCAGCGGCGAATTTATAGCTGTGCCGTCGCCGATGAACGATTCCGGCAATTCGATGGGCGGCGGGGGTAGGGCTCGGATTTCGCCGAACACGCTGCGAAATCCAAACCTTCCCCCCGCCTCCCACCGACTCAGGAGAATCGATGGCTGGTGAGGGGGTAGATTCGGATGTCACCACCCATGGCTCGGAACGATTGCCCATCACAGGAAGCCGGGGAGCAGTGATCTTGAGTCAATTGCCTGGTCACCTCACCGGATCATGGCCGGGCACATCCTGGGACACAGGGTCGCTGTCTGCGCCTTGTTGGCCAGGCGAGGAGGGCGCTTGCGCCGATCTTGGGTTGGGTCCAGACAGGATCGGTGAGGTGGCCAGTTGGCGCCCTCCTGGGCGGTGGGGGGGCTTGGTTATCCTCGGGCGAGAGAGAGAGAGAGAGAGAAAGAGAGAGAGAGAGACAAAACAAGAAAAGAAACGGAGAGACGAGGCGAGATGGCGAGGAGGAGGGGGGATCATCGTGTCGAGCTGCAGGACCAGAAGGGGCTCCAGGGACTCGTCTCTTCCCGTTCTGCTCGTGGGGCTCCACGGGCTCCTTCCGAGGTCCCTGGGGGCGGCAGGGAGAAGACCCTGGCGGGGCGGGCGACGGAGAGGGCAGGGACGGGGGTGAGGAAGGCGGGGGGGCGGCGGGGAGGGAGGAGTTGAAGGGAGGGAGGGGGTCGGGGTCGGCCCCCCGACAGGGCAGCCCTTCTGGGGCTATGAAATCAGAGGCTCGGCCCGTCCAGGGCTGCAGGTGCACAGCCAGGCAGTGGGGAGAGCCCAGCGCGCGTCATCCCAAGCAGCGCTGGCCTGGAACTCTGAGCCTTCGCTGTGCCGTGGCACTCGGGCCGCGTCTCGGCTGGCAGCGCTCACCCACTCCAAACCTTGCGCGCGAGAAGGAGAATGAGAGATGAGTGCATGGGTAGGTAGGTAGGTCGGTAGGTCGGTAGGTAGGTAGGTAGGTATGCAGGTAGGTCTGTAGGTCGGACAACGGCCTGAAGCCAGGTTCGGGGCGTGTCCAGCCCCACTCATCCGCCGAGTCGGAGGCGCTGCCGCACTCGGTCGTGGCCTCCTCCGCGCGGAGCTCGGCCTCGACCAGACCAAAAAACTCTCAGTGCATCAGCTCGGAGATCTCGGCAGGGGGCAGGAGAGAGAGAGAGAGAGAGAGAGAGAGAGAGGGGATGGGGCCTGGGAGGGGAAGGGCGCGAGGAGAGGAGAGGGGAAGGGGTACGGGAGGAGGGCGCAAGCGATGTGGGCATGGGTGGGCTGGGGGCGGGAGCGGCGGCGGCCTCCGCCTCCCTGCCCGAGACGGTGGCAGCTGGTCGTACAATGAGCACTACGTGCGCTACGACTTCGTCAACAACGCGGACTGCGTCGGCAACGCCTCGGCGAACTATTCCACCATGGGCGTCGCGGTCCTGAACTTCACCGCGCCCGTGGCGTCCGAGCTGCTCCTGGACGTGTCCGGGAGGGCGCAGGCCGCCCCGCCCGGCCTCCGCGCGCAGCCGCGCGGCCCCGCAGCTGCCCGCTCCGCTCGGGGTCGACAGGGGAACCTTCGCAGGCCTAGAGGTTGACACCAACACCAATATCGGCGGTGTGCCTCCACCGAGGGAAGCAGATCCCGATCTCGGTGATGGTGGTAATATTCTGGCTTCCAGGGTGGCCGAAATGCTACCACCAACACTGAAATCGAGGATCATCTTCCGCTGCGCGTGGCTGCTGCCGGCCGAGGTCCCGCGGCCCTCGCGGGTCGCTCTGGCGCGGGAGGTCTCGCGCGACAGTCGAGGCCCAGCGCCCCGAAGCGCCGCGCGGCGTCCGCGACGGTGCAGGCCCTGGTACCCTCTTCGAGGTGTGGCGGATGGGGGCGTCGGCCCGCTCTCGAGGGCGGGGAGTCGGCGGCAAGCGAGGGGGGGAAGTGAGGAGGAGAAGGCCTTCTCAGAAGGTTCGGAAGTCCCCAAGCCCTCGGAGAGGTTTCCCAAGCCTTCCCCGAAGACAGAAACGACTTCTCAGGGGGCGCGAGGGCTTCTGAGAGGTCCCGCCGCCTTCTGAGAAGGCCTCCTCCATCTCATTTCCCCCCCTCGCCCGCCGCCGTGGGAAGCTGTGGAAGTCCGCCTCTCCCCGCGGATCCGGGGCGGGGCTCCGGCAGCTGTGAGCCCTGGTGCCTCCCGACGGCGCAAAGGGGGGCCGCATCCCTGCGGTAGGCTCGCGTCGCGTCGACGCGGCGGCGCGCCCAGCGCGGGCGTTCAAGGTTGAGCGCCGCCGGGGCCCGGGGATGGGCCGACATCGGAGGAGCGGCCGCTGTCGGAAAGCCGCGACGCCGTTCGGAATGGGGCATTCCACGGCGGCGTCAGAGAGCAGCGCGCAGGTCGTGACGACGTGGACCCGCCGTGGAGTCAAGACGCCGAGAGAGGGAGCACCGCGGGTTCGGAACGGGCTCGCTGCTCCTGCGGTCCGTCCTCCACGTGGCTGCTCCTCGGGCGCGCCCCGTCCACCCGGGCGCGCGTGGGGCCTGGCAAGGGTCGTCGCTCCTCACTCAGCCTCTGTTCCTTGCGTCTTCGTTCCCAGGCTGCTTGGCTTACTCTACGCCTAGGCGGGTGCGATCGGGCAGTTGCAATCTGCCACTCCGTCTCGCGCTGCGGCGCAGTCACGCCGTGGTGATTTTGCAGTCATTGAGGTTGGCGTCGCCCATTATCGTTGAGAGGAGTTGTTCATAGAAGGAAAACAACCTTCAGCGTCTGCTCCTTACGGCCCCTTCTCTCAGAGGCGTAATTTTCACAGTGTTACTTTGACTAAGTTGTGGGTGGAAGCCCCCGTCGGAGGAGCGGAAATACGAGCCCAACAGAGCAACAGCACTTTACTAAAAGGCTTGTTTCCTTTAGCAAACAGCTTCTTCAAAGTAGTAGTGTAAAGTTTCTGCTTCCAGTTCTCGACAGCATCCGTCCGCGCCGACGGAGCGCGGGCGCGCGAGGGCGGGATGCCTCCTGCACGCCCCCGGTGGACCGACAGCCCCGTTCCGCCCCCCCTCTCGGAGGCGACAACGGCCGGGGCCCGTCCCTCTCCGGATCGGCGGCGAGCCCGGGGGGGAAGTGAGGAGGAGGAGGCCTTCTCGGAAGGCTCGGTGGAGGTCCCTATGGGGCCACGAAGCGCTGTACTGGGTGCGCGGGACGCATGCGGTGGGTGAAAAGCAGGGAGGCGGGGGAGGAGGGCCCCTCCGCCTTCCGAAAGGTTTTTTTTCTATGCTCGGAGACGAACAAAAACGGCCATAAGCATAAAATTTCGGCGCTCCGCGCGGATTTCTCGGATCCGAGCTGGGCCCTCCTGGCAGTGCCTCCGGCGCCGCGAGCGCGCCAGGGAGGAAGGTCCAGCGCAGATCCAAGAAATCGGCGCGGAGCGCCAACAGTTCATGTCTATGGCGTTTTTTCCCCTCCTATGAGTCTTCCCCGAAGACCCAGAAAACCTTTCAGAAGGCCCGAGGGCTTCTGAGAAGCCCCGCCGCCCTCTGAGAAGGCCTCCTCCCCTCGCACTTCCCGCCCCCCCCCCCCGCTCGCCGCCAACTGGAGGGCGACGCTCTCCGGGGGGGCGCCTGGGCGCACGCGGGGGCAGCGGCGCAGGCCGCGCTCGCCGCGGCGGCCTCGCCCGCGGCGCGCCTCGCCGTTGGGGCGGAAGCCCGCCGGCGGCGGGCCTCGGAGGTGGCGGGAGAAGGGCAGCGGCGGCGGCCCCGCCGGCGGAAGGTGTCCCTCCTCCTCCTCCTCCTGCTCCTCCTCCTGCTGCTCCTGCTCCTCCTGCTCCTCCTCCCCCCCCTCCTCCTCCTGGGCATACGGGGGGCCCCCAGATTCGGCGGCGCGCCCATGGGGGAAGCGAGGAGGGGCGGGCCTCGGAAGGCTCGGGAGTCCCCACTGCCTGCCGAGGATTTGCTGGTAAGCCTTCTCCGAAAGCGTCGACAGCTTCTCAGAAGGCTGCATGGCTTCTGAGAAACCCCGCCGCCTTCTGAGAAGGCCCTCTTATCCTTCTCTCGGCGTTACCCCGACACACTTTTACTGTGTGTTCGTCGCCCCCCCCCCCCCCAGGGCCGACGCGCGCACCGAGGAATTTTGTAGTATATGCGTCGTGGCGGGCGTTTTCTGGCCACACCGCTCGGGAAACGATGCACTACAAGATGGGTATACTATATGATCGGGTCGGACGCGCGCCTCCAAGGAGGACATATAGTAATAGCATGTCTTTGTGCCTCCCATTCTCACTTCCCCCCCTCGCTCGCCGCCGGCAGATGGCTGAATGCGATGCGACAGGAGCGGCTTGCGCTCTCGGGCTTGGCCTCCCCGCCCCCCCGAAAGCCGCGCACCAGAGGGCACTCCTGCTCGGGGTCTTTCTTGTGTGTAGCCGAGTTTTTTTTTTTTTTTCTTCTCTCCGTATGCTGCTGAGAAAGCCCACATGTGTGCGAGAGTGCGCGTCTCCCGTGGGCGCGCCGCGGTCCAAACCAACCGAGTACTGAAGCGCCGACGTCAGAAGGGCTACACAGAAGAGTAAGGGGAAGCTACGCATTAGCGACAGCCAGGCTGGCGGAAGGCGGCGGAGGCTAACGTCAGACGTCATCTTTTTTGGTACAGGGTTTCCAGAGTCGGCCTAATGAGAGGGGTTCCCGGACCGCACCCCCCCTCGCCTCGCGTCCTGTCACGGGGGGATGCTATTTTGGCCGGTTTTGGCCCCGGCCCGACAAACGGCTCGGGACCAAAAGCCTGTCCCCCTGGATCTCCCAGACCTCTGGGGCCACGTTCCGGGAAAACCGCGATACCTGATGCAGGAGGAGGAGGAGGAGGAGGAGGAGGAGGAGGAGGAGGAGGAGGAGGAGGGTGTCTTGGAGGCAGATGGGCCCTGGAAGCTCTGCGCTGTTTTTTTGGGGGGGGGCTCCTGGGGCTCTCCCCGGGCCCCGCAGCCGTCCACCAAGCGGTTAGGCAAGCTCAGGGCGAGGACCAGGCCTGGGAGGCGACGACAACAATGACGACGACGACTACGACGACGACCACGACGACCCCGTGGTCTCAGGACCCTTGCGCGGACGTCAACGGGGGTGAAACACACGGGGGGTGAAGAAAGACGCGTCTTTCCAGCACCTCCTTGGACGCGGGCAGGAGTTCAGGGGGCCCTTTCAGGGGCTCCTTCGGCACAGTTCTTCCGCAGCCCTCGGTCGCTGGAGCCACAAGACGTCTTTTTGCTTCCTGGCCTGCCAGCCGTTCCGTCAAATCGGGCCCTGCGGGCCACGCGCGCGCTCATCTTGAACACGTTTAACGACCATCGCGCACCCGCCAACTCCGTCAGCTAGTCTTACGTGGGCAGCACGCGCGCGTCTCTGCGCGCTCACGTCGAACTCTTCCATGACCAGCGGTGTTATCACCACTTCAGCAGAGAGGTGTTCAAACATGTAAGGAATCCCAGGACGGTTTCGAAGTCGAATCTGGTCAGAATTCGACATATCTGTGGGCGCGCGCTTCTCATCGTCATGATCGGTACAACCTCCAAAATCATCTTCAGCGTGATCATTGCCATCGTCATCGTCACCGTCACCATCATCGCCAGCATCGTGACCATCACCACCACATCATCATCATCGTCATCATCACCATCATCATCATCATCATTATTTTCATCATCACCACCATCATCATGGTCATCATCATCATTATCATTCTCATAGTCATCGTCGTCATTCACATTATCAGACTCATCACCATCCTCATCCTCCTCCTCATCGTCATCATCACCATTATCACCCCCATCATCAGCATTCCCATCATCATCGTCAGCATCATCATCATCGTCATCAGCATCATCGTCATTATCACCTTCGTAATCATCATCACCATCATCACCACCACCTTATCACCACCATCATCATCATCACCATCGTCGTGACCATTATTATCATCATCACCACCATCATCATCATCACTATCATCACCATCACGATCATCATCAGCATCATTGTCATTGTCATCGTCATCGTCATCATCATCGTAATCTTCATCGTCATCGTCATCGTCATCGGTATCAGTATTCGCATTGTCATTGCCATTGGCGTTGGCATTGACATCGGTATCAGCATCAGCATGGTTATCATCACCAGCATCAGCGTCGTCGTCGTCGTCCTCGTCGTCGCCTTCACCACCACCACCACCACCATCATCATCATCATCATCATCATCAGCATCATCATCATCATCATCTTCTCCATCGTCGTCATTACCGCTGCCGCTGTCATCATCGCCATCGTTGATGTCGCCGCCGTCTACAATCAGAGCGCGCTCATTTCCTCATCACCATCACCATCGCCGTCATCATCGCCAGTCTCATTGTTGCCACCGTTATGACCATCACCATCAGCTTCAGCACCAGCACCATCGTCGTCGTCGACATTGTTCCCACCGTCGTCGTGAACATCATTATCGTCGTCGCTGCCGTCGTTGTCGCCGCCCAGTTGATTCCTGCCAACAAGTTTTGGGTGGATGGGTGGGTGGGTGGGTGGGTGGAATGTTTGCACGAGCATTGGAAGTGGCCAGGCGCAAATGCGGTCATCAAGACATATTGCACTGCATGCATTGCAGAGCATATATTGCACCACGTAGGTCGCATTCACATGCATGGCACCACAATGATTGTACTGCATAGCTGACACCGTGCCGATTTACATTTTGAGAGTGCAACAGCGTAATGTTTGGTGTGTCCGCGCTGGCAACCTGAGCGGGCTGAGCTACTTCGGTGATGGGGCCAACCACGCTGAGGCGTTGTACCAGGAACGAGCCTTGGGGCCCGTGCCTTGGTGGCTTTCGATCTTGCGACGCAAACTGCAGCCGGGCTTGAAGCGCGTCTCTCGCGCTGCAAGCTCGGTGGCGGACTCGGAGGAAAACACAACGCATGCATGCAATCATGAAGCAGATCGCGCGACCCGTCCCCTGAGGCTCATTACGAGCACTGCCACGTCTTTCTTGACGGCGCTCACGTGGCCTCGCTGACCGCAGGCGAAGGCTTTGGAGGCGAGTTGTTTCGGCTTCTCTCTTGTTGCGAAACGTCACCCTGGTGATGCTGTTGCTGACAGCACCACCGCTGCTGCTGCCTGCTGCTTCAGGTCCACCGCGGAGAACCTTTTCCCACCACTGCCCCCACAACCACTGCTCACCACGCATCCACCATCCGCCAACCAGCCACCATCTACCACCCACTATCCACCACCCACCACCCACCAACACCTACACTTCCTCCACCCTTTGGTTCCTCCTGGTCCTCTGAAGCGGTGGCTCTTGCCCAACTCCCGATCCAAGTAAGCAAGATAGTGACCTTCAGCAGGAGATCTGCATTTTAGCGCAAGCTTCTCAGGTCCTTGTCATTCAGATTGCATCTAGCACTGTCGGCCCTGGCCTGCTGGCCACGATCTCTGCAAGCGACATTGGATTGGTGAGCTTTGTTGCAGACTGCAGCGAGTGTCAGCCAGCTTTTGCAATCTCCCCCTGGCTGTTCGGGTCGACGGTCGACGCGTGCGGGCGAGGCCCGCGAGCCGTAGCCCACAGCGCCTTCCCCGAAAGCCTCTGCCCGAGGGGAAGCATGCATCGTCAGCCAGTGCGACATGTGCAAGGTGTCCGCGCGTGCGAATACCATCTTCGTGAGCGCGGGCGGCCACTCGATCGAGGCTTGCTGGGAGGTATGGGGATGCCTGGGCAGTCGGGGAAGCTGTGTTGCTGCTGCTGCTGGGAACGTGTCAGGGAGGCAGTGCAGGAGGCCATGCAGCATGGATTATTGTGCGCTTGCCAGGAAGTGACAGGGGGAGAGAAGTGAGGAGGCACCGAACCGTGCAGAAGCAGCATGCGAAAGTATCCCGTTTGCGCATTGCGCATTCCCGCGGGCATTGGCTCAAGCCGTTCCCGCCGGGGGGCGGGCAGCGTCGCGGCAGCGCGCGCGATCGGCCTCGCTGCCTGCCCAGCCGCCGTGCAGGCTGCTCTGTGCCGGGCGGCACTCCTTGGGGGCAGCAAGCTGGCTGGCCGCTCTGTGAGCAGGCGCCCGTCCTGGAGTGCCTCTAGATCGTCATCTGCTTCCACGGCGTCCAGGAGTCCGGCTTGGTCTTCAACTGCCAGGGCCAGGACGAGCAGTCGCCGCCCGTTGTCGCGAGCGTCGAGTGCCGCCTTGGCTCTCGGAGAGCTCTGCCGGCGAGGCGGAGGCCGAAGGTGCTCGGCGCAGAGACGGCCAGAGGCGGGCTGGGCGCTGGCGGCTGTCTTCGGGAGGTTCGCTTCCGGACTGCCTCGCCAGTTCGGCCTGGGGCCTCCTCGGCCCTCTGCACGGCCTCGTCGCTGCGCTCGCGTTCGAGACGGCGCCAGGCGTGCAGGCCCATGCCGACCTCGGGACGTTGCCGAGTCTTCGTTCGACCGCCGGCAGGCGGATGGAGCATGGGTGCAGGCTTAGGTCGGGCTTGTCCCTCTACGTGAGGAAAGTTCAAAGATAGTTTAAAATATAGCCAGTGGAGGATGTTTTTGACTATTTTTGACCATGTTGGATTCTGTTTGACTTTTTTTTTGTCCTAGATCCCCCTGTAGGAGGACATGCCCGACCTAAGCGCAGGCGGATCACGATGCCCGGCCATCGTGGACCGCCCGCGGCCCCAGCTCGGCCTGCAGCCCTCCGGGGCGTCGACCATCCAATGCCGCGCCCTGCCTCTGTGGCCGCTGGGCCACAGAGGCAGGGCCCGCGGCCGGCGGCTGCGGCCGCAGGGTGCCTGCGTCGAACAAGAAGCAGGCCTGCCGGCAGGTGCGCCGCAGGCATTTCTCTTTGTTCCCCCGTCGCCCTGTGGGCCCCCAGCGGAGCTCCGTGGCACCATACGCAGCTTGGCTCGAGGTCGACGGCATGCGCTCCCCTGGCGTTCTTGCAGGCACGATCCTCGTCGTAGCCGCTTGCTGCACGCCTGATGCCACAGAGGCCCAGAGGAAGAAGACGAAGCCCGCCGCTGAGCTCTCGGCCGGTCGTCTGGCACCTGGCGGGGCCTGCGGCCCGACGCGGTCTGCGGCCCCGGCAGGCCACCCTGGACGCTCCCTCCAGCGGTGCCCCCAGGCTCGCTCCTGGGCGCGCCCCGCGCAGCGCTGCGCTGCGCGCTCCGCTCGATGCGGCCCCCTGGACCTTCGGAGTGTGCCAGCAGCGCCGTGCCCTCGACCACCCAGGGCTCCAGAGTTCCGGTGCAGCGCGGTCCACGGACGCCGAGAGCTCGGCTGCGAGTTTGCCCGGCACGATGGTGCCTGCGAGTTTGCCCGGCGCGATGGTGCACGCGACCTCTGAGAGCTCGACGGCGAGTTCCAACGCGACGTTGCCCACGGCTCCTGAGAGCGCGACTGCGAGATTCCCAGCTGCGAGTGCCAGCACGGTGCAGTCCTCCTTGTGGGACCTCCAGCAGCACCGCGTCCGCGATCACGGCGAGTCCCAGCACGACGCGGTCAACGACTTCGAAGGCTTCCGTCAGTACCGTGTCCTCGACGACTGCCAATGCCAACACGCCGCACCGTACCCTTTACGACCGCGAGTTCGAGCGCGATGCAGGCCCCGACCAAGAGAACTTCAGCATTGCTGTACCCTCGACGACCGAGGGCTTCCACGTGACGGTGCGGGTTCAGGCCGCACCGCGCCATCGACACCTGCGAGCCTTGGCGCGGCCCGGCACTCTTGGAGGCCCTCGGCCTCGACGCTGGTGAGCTCCAGCGCTTCTCCTCGAAGCACGAACACGGCGTCCACGTAGACTCTAACAGGTCCGCGCGGATCCTCCTCGCCTTCCCCGCGATCCACAGCGCGGCGGCCAGGAGAGCCCCCCTGTACCGCTGCTGCCCTGGTCGCCTCCTGGGCGCGGTGCCGCTGCGGACCGCTCCCAGGCGGGCGGCGGCGCAGCGCGGGGCCCGACGCGGCTGCGCAGGGCCCGGTGGCGTGCTCCCCAGTGTGCCAGGACGTGGGCCACGTCGCGCCCCGAGGCGACCCGTTTGCTGCCCTCGCCTTCTGCTGCACGCGTGGCGCGTTTCAGGGGGAGCCTCGCCCTCTGCGCGCCTCGCCCTCGGCGGAAGCAGGCGGAGGCGAAGCGCCCGGCCACCTCCTGGGGCCCCGGTCTGGCAAGCCGCTGGATCGCGCCAGGACCACCCTTTCGGCAGATTTGTAGTTTCATGCGGACCACCACGTAACTGTCAGCGACAAGAGAGGGTACTGAGTGCCAAAGGGAAGTAAGGCGGGTGCGGCTCCGCTGGCGGAAGCTGGCGCAAGGTCGGCGGAAGGCGGCGGACGTAAAAGCTCTGTGTCAATTTAGTTTCAGGGTGTCGGGGTTTCCAGGATCGGCCACGTGGTGCGGCTCCAGACGTATTCACTGAGCAGCACTGGCGGCGGCTCGCCTCCTTCGTGGGCGAAAGTCATACACGTATCCGCGACCTCGCTAGCCGGGTCATTGGACTGCGACCCCGACGGGGCGTTATGTCGCGGACGCACATCGCGGAATGTGCGTCTCCGCGGGACCGCGCCCCAGAACCTGCACCGCGAGGGCGTGGCTCGTGGCTTGGATACGTTCGCCGCTCGTGTCTCCTGCCGCTCCGTGGAGCCCTCCGCTCTCGCCTCGCGGCCCGTGCTGGAAGCGGGCGCCGCCGCGAGCAGCCCTGCTGGAGCCCAGGCGCGTCGACCCCCTGGCGGTCGGCGGGTCCGGCGCGGCCGTTGCCCCGGTGCCGCCGGCGTGGGCCGCCGTACGTGCTCGGGGCTCCCGCTGTGTCGCCCCAGCGGCTCAGCCGCGGTCCCGGCCAGGCTCCCCGCCGGTGGGGCATCTTCCGTTCGGGCAGCGCCAGGGGGCGGTCACCACCAGGGGGGTCGCCGCCTCGTCCTGGAAGGCAGGGATCGAGGAGGAGGGAGGGTCGTGGGTCGAGGAGGTTTCGGGTGTCTCTGCGCGTCTCTGCGTGTCCTGCAGGGAGGGGTCAGGGGGGCCCCAGGGGGGTCCGTTTCCTGCAGGAGTTGGCGACCGTAGTGGCGACCCCCCCTTGGCATTGCCAGGCTCTCTCGGGCTGCCGCCGTCCTTGCCGGCTTTCGCAGGGTCACTGCCAGAGCCCAGACCCCCAACGTCATGATTTTTCATTACGTCGACCCCCCGACGTCTCGACCTATTCCCTGGGACCAGTTTTTCATCCCGAGTCGTTTTTTGACGGCCCCGAGGTCCGGCAAGGACCCCCACAGGCCGAAAATTGCGGCAAGTTTCCCGTCGTGATTTTTCCATGACTCGAGGGGGTCTGGGAGCGCAGCTGGGGGAGCGGCCCGCCTCTCAGGGCTCCTCGCGTGTCCGAGGCTGCGCGGCGCGCAGCTTCGCGCCCAGGGCCGCCCGCCGAGCAGCCGGAGTCTGCCGCCCTGTGGACTTCCTCGGCGTGCTGGCAGCTGCCGACCATGGCGTTCGCTCCCAGTGCTCGCGTTCCCGTGGCTCTTGCTGCGGGCGCTGTGCCGCAGCATAGGATGGGGGAAGAAAAAGTGGCATAAACATGAAAGCTCGGAGGTCCGCGCGGATTTCGCGGATCATCGCTGGGTCCCCCCGGCGGCGCCTCCGGCGCCGCCCCTGGCGCGCTCCGCGCGCCAGGGAGGGGGGTCCAGCGCCGATCCGAGAAATCCGCGCGGACCTCCGAGCTTTTGTGTTTATGCCACTTTTTGTTCCCCTTTAGGAGTGCCCGCCGCGTGCTTGCCGTGGTGCGCTATCTGGCGGCCCTTCTGCGCCCTCCCGCCGCTGTCCCTGTCCCGATCCCGGGGTGCTGGGCCGAGAGCGCGCGCCGCCGCCGCCCTTCCTGTCACTGACACTTGGCGAAGTACACCAGCAATGCCTAGATCGAGAGGTGGCCCCAGTGTCGCCCGCGCCGGGCCAGCCAGCGGCATGCCGCGACTGTGGTGTTGGCGTCGCCCCCAGCAGTAGGGGCACGCTCTACCTTGGGGCGGTGCGCGTGGTCTCGGAGAGGAGGAGCGGCCTTGCGTCCCCGGTGCGCATCAGTTGTTTTCGCGGGCCATGGATCTAGCTCCCTTGGACCACTGCCCGACAGCGAGATGGCTCCAGGTGTCTCCTCGGTACATGCCGCATGTCGCCCGCGCCGAACAGCCCACCGCGTGTCGCAACTGTGCTGATGGCGTCGCGCCCACGGAAGTGGCTCATGGTCTATTTTGGTTGTATGTATGTTTGTTTGCTTGCTTGCTGACTTGCTTGTTTGCTCATGTGTATGTTAGTTTGTTTGTTGGTTTGTTTGATTTGATGCTAGTTTGCTTGCTTGCTGTTTTATTTCTTTGCTTGTTTGCTTTTGTTTGTTTGCTTGTTTGCTTGCTTGCTTCTTTGTTTGCTGGTGTGTTTAACTACACATAGATGTAAGTTCCCACCCCCGGGGGGTGTTTGTAAGTTGATGATCGCCCTGCGAGTGTGTGTGTGTGTGTGTATGTGTGCACATCTCTATACGACATACACGTGCCACGTATTCCGCTAGGATCACATGATCGGTGGACTTCATTGCGCCGCTGGCAGTTCTCTCGCCTCTGGTCGTGGGGTGCTCATGCTAGCGGAGGAGAAGTGGCGGTGTGTAATTTGCGTGCTCCTCTCGGCAGGTGCTTGTGAATTCGTCGGGCCACTTGTATCACATGGGCGCGTACTTCCAGATCCAGGTTCGATCGATGGAGGTCTGCGGTGGGGGCTGAACGTGGCCGATGGGTGCCGCCTGAGGGTGGCGAATCACGAGTCCAAGCTGCTAATCACAGTCGGCAAAGACAATGAAGATCACTACTAGTTGACGCGCCCGTTCAATGCCGCCCCCCTCCAATGTCGAAGCTGAGCGAAACGCGGTCTGGGCGGACACGACTCGGAAGTTCCACGGTGACCGAGATTGGAAAGGGAACGCCGAGAACTTTTTCTTGCGCAGTGCCACCGGGACCCAAAACATCAAACATGCATAAGTACATACTTTCCTACATGTTTGAGGTTAGTTTGGTCGAGGGTTGTAGCAGTGCGATTGTGAGCTCCCCTTCCCTCTCTCCCTCTCCCTCTTGTGTTCCTCCTCTTGGTCCTCTGTCTTTCCATCCTCCTCCGCCTCTTTCCGGTCCCGCTCTGACTCCTCACGATCCTGCTCCCATGCTCCTCTTTCTGCTCTTCTGCTGAGTCCAGTGGATAGTTCAAGCTGCACAGAGCGTTCGTGCTGGGTCGAGGTGTGCCGCTCCGCAGGGGGAAGCGCCCAAGGGTTGACCTCCCGGCTGTTTGCGAAAGCCATTAAATCCCCATCGGAAGTACAGAGTCCCCCTGGAGGATGGCGGCGACGACGACGACAAGGGGTTGGCCCCCCCGCCCGTGGCGAGCGTCGGCAGAAGGCCTTTGGAAGCCTGCGGATGCAGCCCGCAGCCGGATTGATCGGTGGACTCCGGCGGGAACGCCGCGGAAGCTGGCGCCAGGAAGGATGCCCATAGCCGGAGCAGAAAAGACGGCACAGACACAAACTTCTGGCGCTTCGCGCGGATTTCTCGGATCCGCGCCAGGCCCCCCCGACGGCGCGTCGGGCGCCACCCGTGGCGCGTTCCGCGTGCCAGGGAGGGGGTCCCAGCGCGGGTTCAAGAAATCCGCGCGGAGCGCCAGAAGTTAATGTTAATGCCGTTTTTTTTCTTCTACATAGGTCCGTCGATTCCGTTTTTCGGGGCGTCAGCCTTATCGGAACTGGATTTTGTACAACACAAGAGGTTCCAATTCGGCCACATCGTTCGCAGCAGGTTTCGGTGTGACCTACGCTCGGCATGCAGGATCGTTCATGTTTCGAGCCGAGGGACACGGTTGGGTTTTGAGGGTGGAGATGTTTGGGCCTTGCGAGACTTCTTGTTCGAGTCGCCAGGGGTCTGGGGAAGGACCCTGAGATCCTTTCGTCGCGATTTTTCGCCCCGATCCGGGCCTCGCGGGGCCCTCGCAGGTCGATCCGACTCGCGAAGACGGGCTCTGGCGGGGATCTCTCACGATGTTGCAGTCGTTTCGTGCCTGGGGGGTCGATCTTCGGGGAGATGCTGGCGGGCGACGGATATGGATATACCTGGGCCGTGCGGGGGCCAGTCCCCGAAGATCGATCCCCCAGGCGGTGATTATGGATAAATTCCCGCCTTGCACCAGAGGTCTGGGGAGGTGGAGGAGGAGGAGTGGGAGGGGGAGGAGGCGTTCGGTCGTTACCTACTTTTTTTCGTTTTCTCTCTCTCTCTCTCTCTATTTCTCTTTTTTTCTGTTCCTCTCTCTCTTTCTCTCTCTACCTGCTTTTTTCTTGCCCTCCCCTCGGCGCCACCAGCGGGGGCGGCTGCGAGGGCTCCAGTGCCGTGTTGCACAGACAAGTCCGCACCTCTAAGCTCGAAGGGGGATGAGGAGGGGGAGAGGGCAAGCTAGGTGCGCTCGCGTCATATCTGACGTCCTACCCCTCCCTCCCATCCCTTACCATGGCGCTGATTTTCTCTATCCGCGGACGCGTGTCGTAGCGGACCTGTGGCTCCGCGCGCGCGTGCGTAGTGGGTGGTGGTGCACGTGCGTGCGTGCGTGCGTGTGTGCGTGGTTGTGTGGTGGTGGTGGTGGTGGTGGTGGTGGTGGTGGTGGTGGTGGTGGTGGTGGTGGTGGTGCTGGTGGTGGTGGTGGTGCTGGTGGTGGTGGTGTTGGTACTGGTGCTGGTGCTGGTGGTGGTTGTGTGGTGGTGGTGGTGGTGGTGGTGGCGGTGCGGCGCGGTGGTGGCGGGCGGATGGGCGCGCGAGAAAAAGGCCCGCGCTGGGGCGAGAACGCCATCCTGAACGACGGAGGCCAAACACCGATCCGAAAATGAGGCCCACGCTGCAGCGGGAGCACGATTCGGAACGATTCGGGAGCAGAAATGAGGCCGGCGCCTCAACGAGAGCAGCATTTTGGGAAAAAATGACGCCGGCGCCTCAGCGAGAGTCGTTTCCCGGGATTTCCCGGGCATGCTGTGTGTAAAAAAACAGTACGCGGAGGGTGCGCGGCCATCACCTGGACGCCATCAGGGGAAGAGGGAGAGTATATTCATATTGAGAAATTGTGGAGGGGGAGGAGGAGCGGAGGAGGGGGGGTGGAGGAGGAGGAGGAGGAGGGGGAGAGGGAGGAGGGGAAGGGGGCGGAAGGGGGAGCAGGAACATCCCAGTTAATCTAAGTTCGCATCCCAGTTAATCTAAGTTCGCCTCACGTCAAAAACGAAGCATGAGCCATGCCGCAGCCCCCCCCCCCTCTCCCCTCCCCTCCACGCGCCTCGTCCTCCCCTCGTCGCCATGGCCCGACCCTTCCCCCCCGCGTCCTTCCTCCTTGTCGCCTCGGACCCCGAGGCGTCAAAGGCACAAAGGTTCACGACGGCTGGTGTTTCAGCGCTCTCGGCATCTGCTGGGGGCCGTTTCGCGGCACCCAGGGCCGTCGAGGAGCGGCTCGGGAGGGAGAGCTGGCCGCATCAGGAGAGGCCGACATCCCCGGGGGTCCACGTTGTAGAGAGCTGGACGGCAGAGAGCGCATCGTCGACAAGCAAAGTTCACTACCCTACCGGACGTCCTCCCTCCTTCCTCCTGCTTCCCTCATCCCTCCTTCCCCCCGCTGCTCCCAACTGCTGCCTCCCCCCCTCCCTCCCTTTCACTCTTCCATCCTCGCTCCTCCCTCCTCCCCTCCCCATGGGTACGCTATCGCAATGCCCGCGTCAAGTCGTAAGCCTCCCCTCCCACCTCCCTCCGCCCCCCACATCTCCCCCCCCCCCCCTCACGCGGGAAGAGGCGGGGACTGCGGGCTATGCCGACGCGCTGTGCGCCCGTGGGAGAGGCGGCCCTGTGGACCCACCGACGCAGTGGCAGGACGGCCCGCGACCTGTGCGCGCGGGGCGCGCGCTGGGTTGCCAGACAGCACAGGGCTGCGCCAGAGCATCTCCGGGAGTCTCCTCCCTGCGGGCCCTGCCGACGCGCTGCGCGCCCGCGGGAGCGGCGGCCTCGCGGACCCACCGTCGCAGAGCGTCGACGAGAACGACGGCGACGACGATGGAGGAGGAGGAGGAGGAGGAGGAGGAGGAGGAGAAGAGGAGGAGAAGAGGAGAAGGATGATGATGATGATGATGATGATGATGATGATGATGATGATGATGATGATGATGATGATGATGATGATGATGATGATGATGATGATGATGATGATGATGATGATGCTGCTGCTGATGATGATGATGATGATGATGATGATGATGATGATGATGATGATGATGATGATGATGATGATGATGATGATGATGATGATGATGATGATGATGATGATGATGATGATGATGATGATGATGATGATGATGATGATGATGATGATGATGATGATGATGATGATGATGATGATGAGAGGAGGAGGAGGAGAAATGAGAAAGAGGACCGACTGAGGAGGAGGAGGGAGGAGGGAGGAGGGAGGACGGAGGACGGAGGAGGGAGGAGGGAGGGAGGGAGGAGGGGAGGGAGGAGGGGGGAGGAGGAGGAGGGAGGAGGAGGAGGAGGAGGAGGAGGAGGAGGAGGAGGAGGAGGAGGAGGAGGAGGAGGAGGAGGAGGAGGGAGGAGGGAGGAGGGACCGACCGCCTCCCCCTCGGATCGGGGCGTCGCAGCAACACCAAGCAATCGCGATGGCCAGCTGCTCAAAATGCTTCGGCAGGGGCGCCTCGCTTCGCGCTGCTTCGCTGCTCAAAATGCTTCGGCAGGGGCGCCTCGCTTCGCGCTGCTTCGCGCTGCTTCGCGCTCTCGCGAGGCGCGAAGCGCGAAGAGCTTCGCGCTCTCGCGCCGACCCCCAGGGGAGAAGAGGAGGGCGAGGAGGAGTCGGAGCTGGAGCGCGACGCGCGAAGCGCGCCCTCGAGGGCGCCCTCGTTCAGGCCTCGGGAGGCCGTTCCCCAGGCCCAGGGATCGTCGAGAAAGCAGCTCGGGAAGAAAATGCTGCCACAGAGCAGGGGTCGATATCTGGGAGGAGCCCACGTCACGAAACGATTGCGACGGAGGGGCTCCCCACATCCCCACCCTGCCCCTCCTGTCAAAGAGGCTCACTGGACCTGTCCCCGCCTCCCCTGTCTCCCATCCTCGGGCGCAAACCAGAAAATGCACGGGAAATGGACGTCCGAGCGATAGCGAGGGACCGAACGCCACTGGTAGCCTCCCCACCAGCGGGGCCGCAGTTCCACTGGGGGGGGGGGGGGGGTAAGGGAGGCGCGGGCAAGGACAGGCAAGCAAGCAACAGCCGAGCATCCAGACGGACGCTTGGGCAGTCAAGGGTCCAGGGTGCTCATCTGACAGCCTGACGACGAGGCGGACAAAGCGCCAGAGCATGGGGAATAGGAGGGATGAGGGGTAAAACATGCACAGGCATATACATGTGCCGACACATTGCGCTGGAGATGCCCATTGTCATTGTTGTCTTGGTCGTCCGCGCCTACACTTGAGAGCTCACACCTTCGGCGTTCCATCATCATTGCATGCATTCGCTTCACCAAAGAGGTAGTAGGTCTATGTGCTGTGCTTTTCTCATACATTTTGATTTGTCTGCCCGCCAATATTTGCGGAAGTAGTTTGGCCCCTGCCTTGTCGAGACCACTTGCATTGCTGACCCGAGGAATCCGTGAGTGTGGATTCCAAGATTGCGTCGTAAGCATCGGCAATGGAATGCATCGAATCTGCATCTGTCTGGTTTTCACAACCAAAGAGAGTCCCATGAATACAGTAGCTTTCT